AAACATGATCTAGTGTTTATTTACAGAATTTTGCTACTTGGGTATACTGATTACACCTAATGGAAAGTTTAAATTAGCACAATCGATGTTAAAGAATAAAGCAAGGAAGGCATTATTTAGTTTCCGACATTCATTCTGAATCATAAAATGATATCAACTTCATTATGCTTGAAACTGTTTGACCAGTTAATAACACCAATCATAATGTATGGTGCTGAAATTTGGGCTGACGAGATATCAAATGACAACACTATTCTAGAGCAAGTGGGTAGTCAGTTTTACCGCTTTATACTTGGTGTCAGTAAAATTAAATATTGGTATAGACTTGGCATGTTTGCTGACAATAATATTCTAAAATGTGCATTAAATGAAAACAAAGAAATTAAATCAAAGTGGATAAAACATATTGAAAATATTATTGGTCACGGGGAACTGGAGGAAGCAAAATAACAGCACAATGTGGATAATATTAGCCAGTTATCAAACATCATGAAAGTGAAATTAAGAGACCAATACGAACAGTCTTGGAAGGAGCAGCTAAACTCGTCCACTAGTAATAGAGACAAAAATGAAGGCAATAAACTTAGGACATATAAACAATTTAAAATAAACAATGAACTTGGAAATTATCTAAATGAAATAAATAACTTTAGCTTACGTAGAATGTTATTAAAATTCAGGCTTAGTGATCACATTTTGGAAATTGAACTGGGGAGAAGAAAAAAACCGAACTACCAGCAGCAGAAAGAGTCTGTAAAAAATGTGATCAAGGCGATATTGAAGATGAAAAACATTTTCTTTTGAGCTGCTCACATTTTGAAAATGAATGAAAAAGCATCCTGAAAAACTGCAAAATTACCTCAAATGAAAAGAACAACTTTGAAAGACGCAATGTTCTTAAAAATAATGAAAAATAACATTGCTCTGTCTCTATATCTTAAAAATACCATGTACAAAGCACCGCCTGTATAAGCCCCTGGGTAGGAAGAACCTTTACTTTGATTTGTTTGTAGTTATTTTTAGTTGCATTACTTTACACTAGTTTTACCTTACTGTATCCACAGAAGATTACAGTTGCGTAATAATAAACTACATTTGTATTACTATTCTCGGGGGCTGACGGCTTCACCGCCTGGCTGAAAACGTTACTCTGGGAAGGTTGTTGAGACTCTCCTGAACAGTGTAACAAGATTACCCATGCGTGTACAACATATATAAGTTTTGTTGTTCAGAATTACTTCAAAGTTGAGTGTGTGTTGTTTTCTCGAATTTAGTTATTTCACCGGCTCTTCGACTGGCGTTCCATAGCAGCTCGTGCAGAGCCCATATAAATACATGGCAAAGTGGTGTGCACCTTAGCAACGTAGAACGTCTTGTGACGTAGCTCAGCCCCCGAGTGAGTTAGGGGAGATTTTGCGGAACTATTTTGTGGTTGTTACTAAAATGACATACGCAGTTAATTTTTGTCGCTCACAATGAAAGGTCCACATGCAATTTAATACACTACACCATGCTGTTGCTAGTGTGTCAAGATAAATCTGTGATGTCATGGCAAACGTAGTTAGATAATTTTGTTTTTGCGATCGAGGTTGTTGGACGACAATTGTTATACTAATATGGTAGGTATCGGAAGGGTAAACGGGTGGTGCACACTGGACGAGGAGAGGTGGGGTGGACACGATTGACATCTAGCAACTTATTGAAATGCAAGTTGGTTATCCGAATAGTCAGTTACTATCCACTTACTACAGCGATCCTGGCAAGAGTTATATGAATGGTTGGTGGATTTGTGTTGGCGAACTTGGTGTGCAACAAGTGTAAACCCTATTGTCGTCCTCCACGTGGTACACGTGTATTGAGCTACGTTGTCAACTGAACATTCGCTAACGTAACTATTGTGTATGTTCAGCTTCTAATAATGAAGTTATTCTTCGTCCCACGTCTGTCTGTGGCAATTTTGCGTGAAACACTGGGTCTGAATGATTAGCTATGCGAGTATAATACTATTGCGTGGGGTTTCTTACGGTATACAACATACTACGTAATTCTATACAGGACTAAATGGCGTGATTATTGCTTGCTGGGTTACCATAGTAATTAATAGCTGTTCTGTATCGAACGTGAATATTGTTGTGTGCTTGGAATTAACTGCCACGTGTCGCAATTGTATCGTGACACATCGTTTGTCTTAGTCGCGTATATTTGCGTGCTTTAAGGTAGAAGCCTAGTCATAATTTTTGACAAAATTGGTCATAAATCGCATAACAATGTTCATTAGTTTATTATGTACAATCATGAAGCTAATGTCCCATGGTATAATGAAATAGCATTATTTTGTGTGTTACAGTTTAATATGCTTTTTGAGAAAGTGTCCCAATATTTCTTAAAAATTGCATAATGTTAAAAGAAAATTGCGTTTTTTGACACTTTTTAAAACCCAGATTTTTTAATAATTCAGAACAACAAAAGGTACTCCATCATTAACAATATATGATTTTTTCAGCCTATGTCACCAGGATAGTTTGTGAGATATTGCATAATATCTCTGCCATAGGAACCTGTGGTAAAAGTGTTATAATAGTGTCAAAATGGCGACTTTCCACTAAAATACAACCATCCATTTCTTGGAAAAAAGGCTGGTGACCCCCAACTTTTTTTAGGTCAATATCCTTATATTGTCTTGGAGTACAATTTATTGCAAAATGAATAAATTCTGTTTTTTTTGGAAAAAATCGCATTATATCATGTCGTGTCGGGCCATCTATTCGTATTCGCACCTGATTATATGGTTAAATCAATCAAAATCATTAATAAACGTTTATAAAGCGCTTCGACCCAGAAATAAGTTCTGTCTAAATGCGCTAAGGGAGTTATTCCACGCAGTAGGCTTTGTTGAACAAATATGTTTTCGGTCTTCAATGATCTGACGTATATGACAGATTGAAGGATGTTCCAAATTTGATGAGCAGCATGTGCAAATGTACGTCCATATGTTTTCAATTTATATTTGGTGGTGCAAAGAAGATTCTTATTGTAAGAACGAAGCGTACGATCGGAACAAGGCTGTTCAAAACTTTAAACGTTAACAGAATATTTTTGGACTGAATACTATAATGAACGGAAAGTCAATGCAGTTTTTTCCAGAACTGGGATTATATGCTCTGATTTTCTAGTACAGGTAGATTAATGCTATTTTCTGGAAGTCCAAATAAGTGAATTCCCATCATTGAGTTTGGCAGAGAGTATTGCATGAATTAAATCGTGACAACAGTTGTATTCTTTATGTATATGTATATATGTGTGTGTTGTCAAAAGCTACTCCGATATTACGTACAAAAGTAACAAGTGCAGGAAAACTAGAGCAAATTGTGACACTGTTGACTGGCGCAAAAAACCGGATGAGCAGTACTTCGGTTTACGAGTCGTTGAGTATGAGCTTTATTTGTGACATCTATTCTTTGATGTCATAGACACAGGCCTCGATTGAGTTAATTGCTGAAGTAGACTCCTTATGATGAAACGCAAGATATGGCTGATTATTTATGCACGCTGTTGATGTTTAATGTACGATTTAAACCATAGACAATGCCAGGGATACATATACTTGACAATCTCTTGAGTAATACATCTTGTTTTTTTCAAAGATGGTTGACTGCCTGTAATCTTGTTCTTTGGCCATACTACTATTACATCCCTGTACATGAGCCCAGACAAAAGAAATTCAGTTTGGATACAAAAAATGTACGAATAGCTAATCCTGTTTAATTTCTGATCATATATTTCGATTTTGGAAGAGTAATTTAATACATCTAATTGCTGTCACTACGTGAAATATCGAAAATATTGTTAAGTACAGACATTCAATAAGGCCTGTATTTTTGGTAAAATTTTGTATTTTCGCAATTTCAGCCATTTATTCACTCTAAACGACTAACTACACTTTTGGCCCGCAACTTTATTTTCGGCAGGAATAACAGTTCCCGTTTGGAATTAGGGGAAATGTGGCATTCACTGTGATTTACATAATGAATAATAGGCGAGTCATTCGAATCGTTCTTTCCCACTACGCATTGGTGCAATCTCGGCAATCGCGGAGCTGCGCTTTGAACCTAGTGTATGGAAATGTAGAATATCCACTGCAATCACATGACCAACTTCTAAGGTTTTAAA